AAATATGAAGCGACAGGGCGAAAAAATAAAAACAGGTCTAGGCATTCTATTATAGGCTTAAATGCTATGGAATGAGCCATGAAGTCAACACAAAAGGCTGGGTTAAAATTTAAACATTGAATTTTGAACTTTTAATCAAACCACTGCATTGATAGATGGGAAAACTGTAACAACTAGGAAGAAAAGGACTTTCCTCAACTGTTGGGGGCAAAACATGAGCATTTTTCAGTTGATTCAGGACCAGAATCAAAATTTTTTTTTTTTGCAAATCAAGAAAAAACGAAGAGGCGAATCCGAGAACCAACAAATTAAATTGGTGTGGCCTAATTTCCAGTCACTATCATGGTCAGGGCTGAAATGAACATGCCACTGGCCAATTGTTACAAAATCTAAATCCATTATTATTGCTTTAAAATCTCATTTTTTATAAAATAATCATTTTATTAAATACTCATTTTTTTCTAATAGTCAGTCATGCAAGGCAAATATGAAATTATGCAGGTCCAAAATATACATTATGAGGTATGCACGCATTCAGTATAACACAGTATATAATTATATATAATGGATTATTCTTTCTGCAGCAGTTGTGTGTTGGCGTGTCTGGGGAGTGTTTCCATGGAGACTAAGCTCAAGTTCTCATGCCAGCCTGAAATTTTGTTGGTCATTGAAGTCACCCGTTATGTTGTCCATTCATCTCTTCCTTGGATGTGGGTTTTGGCCTTCCACATTCAGTGTGATGACCTTTCTGGGCCAATTCTTACTGTCCATTCTTTGGAGGTGACCAGAAAATCCTAAGGCCACACCAATCTAATTTGTTAGTTCTTGGATTTTTTTCTGAATTGCAAAAAAAAAAAAGATTCTGGTTTTGAATTAACTCAAAAATGGTCATATTTTGCTCCCAACAGTTGAGGAAAGTCCTTTTCTTCCTTGTTGTTGCAGTTTTTCCATCTATCAATGAAGTTACTGTGGTTTGATTAAAAGGTCAAAATTTGTTGTTTAGATCATATCAACACAGCCTTTTGTGTTGACTTCATGGCTTGTATCGTAGCATTTGGGGCTTTTTTTTTTTCTAGAATACACAAGTGCTGTGCGGACAAGGACACATCCTCAGTGATGCACCTGGAATCATTGGGTGTTTCGGGTCTTTGAGCATCATACACCCTCATCCAGGCGACCCAGCCGGGGTGATCAGTCCCCGACTTGTGTCCAAGTGGCATTTGTCCAACTATCCCCCCGACGGAACCACAGCCATCTTGAGGCTCTTTCTGCGGCGTCAAGAATGTCTCTGATAGCGTGTCTGAGCTGCGGCCCTCTTACTCCGAGGAGCTTTAACGATCTAGACAACGACTGACCTGCGAACCCCCGACACCCAACCTCAACCGGTGCACACCGGGCCCTCCACCCCCTCTTCTGACTGTCTATTACTAGTTCAGTGTACTTCGCTCTTTTACGCTCGTGGGCTTCGACTATTCTACTTTCCCACGGAACAGTCAGTTCCAACATGATCACTTGTTTTGTGGAGTCCGACCAAAGTACCACGTCTGGCCGCAATGACGTGGCAACGATGTGATCTGGAAACTTGAGCTGTTTGTCTAAATCTACTTTGAGCTGCCAGTCTCTCGCAGTAGCTAGAAGCCCACCAGCAGAAGTGGGTTTCCGCTTAGCACTCTCACCAGCCCTGACAAAGGTTATGGACTTCTTAGGTGGCATCTGACTCTTGCTGCTTTGAATAGCCTTGCAAAAGGAAGCAGCCAACACTCTCAAGACCTGGTCGTGCCGCCAGCGATACCTCCCCTCGCCCAGTGCCCTTGGACAGCAGCTGAGAATGTGCTCTAGGGTACCTCTTCTCCCGCAAAGTGGACATGCTGGGGTCTCTGCCATGCCCCAGATATGCAAGTTGGCTGGGCTTGGGAGGACATCATACACAGAAGAGATGAGAAACTTGATCCGGAAAGGTTCGGCCCTGCACAGCTATGGCCATGTGACTTTGCGGGGCTCTGTCTGCTCCCATCTGGTCCACGCACCCTGCTTGCGCATGCCTACCATCCTGCAGTGGCGAGCCTCCTCTTCCTCGGCTCGTATCTCATCCTGGACCAGTTGACGCCTCTCCCTTCCACTGGCCTTGTCATACTGAGGCTTTGGGCAGCTGCCTAGTCCTGACCTGTTTTTATTTTTGTTTATTTTTTCGCCCTGTCGCTTCATATTTTTTCTGACAAAATCCGAAAACCAACAAATTAAATTGGTGTGGCCTGATTGCGTAAATCTTACTTTTGTTTTTTTCACTCTCCACAGAAGACGAGTGTGACCTTCCAGACAAGATCCTTGACTTGTCCCTCAAGGTGCTGAAGAACAAGGGAAAGTACTGGACTCACGGCGCCAACACCAACAACGTTCCTCAGAAGTTTGAGGAGCACCTTAAGAACCTTCTGCAGCCTGTAGACTTCTTGAAGGAAGTTATTGCAATCCCGTCTTACCATGAACTGTATCCTTTCTATGTTGATGAAGGTTGGACATCCAGGTAAGGCCACAGCAAGTAAATTTTAAGGATGACATCCTCTGCAGACTCCAAATCTAATGCGAGCGGGCGAAAAAAAACAAGGCGGGCCAAAAAAAACAAGGTTCCTACATTATAAAATTTTGACTCAATCATTGTACGAATGGCTTTTATTCGGTGGGAACATCACATATACACAGCCATCATCATATATCACTGCATCAAAGTAAGAAACAAAATATTAAATCATAGCCTTTTCTTGTCTCCTCTCGTCATAGTTATCTGCCATCCACCTTCCGGCACGGTAACAGACATCTTGCCCATTTTCGGCATGTTGACCACTGTCAGAAGGCAACAAAATTTCTTGTTTTTTTTTCCAAAATCAGGCGAAAATTAATGCGCGCGCTGATGACATCCATAAAAATTACTTGCTGTGGCCTAATGAGATTCACAACTTGAAGGCATTGCTACTCAATCTTCATCAGCAGGCCTCGAAAGTAACAGTGTCCCGATGGCCACTAAAATTTTAGCTGGAACAACTAAAAAGACACTTTGGGACATTTTTGGGACGAAAGAAAAATAGTCAACATCAGAATGTCACCCTTCATTCTTTCGGCTCTGGAAAAAGCTCCCCAAAATTTGCCGTTTACTCTGCAATTACAGCGCGCCTGGAAGTCAGAACGTAAGCAAAATAAAGCTGACTTCAAGTTCACTTCCTGAAAAACAGGTTGGGACAGTTCATCCTCACTTCACGACAATTAAAATTTATTTTCGGGACAGTGCTGGGACAATAGGAAAAAAATTTATTTTGGGGCCTGATCAGTCTTCCTCTTTAGGAGGTGTACTGTGTATTAAGTGTACTGTTTATCAGTCATTGCAGACAAAAGCTCAGGCCCTTATAAATTAGTTTCCAGGAGCCTTCCTGTGGGCTCTCTGCTGCGAGTCACGTGACCCGCAAGACACAGCCGTATCATCTTCGTATAAGTAGTGAAATGTTCAACTTTATTCAAACAAATATTAAACACAGAGATGAAATTTTCAACAACCACTATCGCCTTCATCAAGATAATTAATGACCAATCACTTTGAAACGTAATCTCGCAAGAGTGTGCCGTTGAATTTTTTTAGATCAATCAATCATGATTCATTTAATAACAATCTTTATACAGGGATCTCAGTTGGATAATATCAAATTACCCAAAGCTTGACTGTCAGTGTTGGAAATGTCATTTATGAAATAATTTGTCACTGTAGAACTCCACGTATATTTAACGATTTTTTTTTTCAAACTGACAAGACAACATCCTTAACCACTCCTCCACAGCTGGGTCTTCTACACCATATGGAAGGCATCTTAAGAAGGGAATGGAAGAAAAAATGGGCATTTCTTCATCTTCAACTACCAGACTACACTTTACTCACTGTACCATCTGAAAGTGCCAGGTCAACAACACTTTAAAGGTTAAATACCCTTGTTGTTGTTAGTCAGCACAAGTATTTTTAAAAAATTACCAGGCAGTAGATCACAGGTGTCCCCAGGTACATAAACAAAGACATATTACATACTCAAGCAATGTGTGTTTACTGTATCAACAAAAGCAAAATGATTTTAATTTTGTCTGTTTCATGGTAAATGTTATTATGAAGCAAGTTTCGACTGTAATTTCCAACACAAGAATTTGGACTTACCCAAAATTTTTAATTATAATTTTTTAAGTACTCTTTTGTATACTTTCTGGAATGCAATTCGTAAGAGGGCTGCGTAAGTAACAGTACTTGTTAATGAGTGTAATTCCCACCCAACAGTAAAATGCAATGCAATCCCATTGTCTCTTAAACTATGCACAACGTTGTTTATTATGATCACTGTTCATCAGTATCATTCACACCTGCAAGTACATGACTGTGTATGTATATCCGGGTGTCAACAGTCTTGAAATGTTGTCAAAACAGACCCTTTCTATTTCAATGAGTTCTAAATTTGGTAGAATTACAATGTAGTTCTAACACTTTTTTTTGCAGCCTCAACAGACATTTAATATACAAATTAATGTAGATAATATCTTTAAGGAGCTGAATGTGTTTTGATTGTTATTTTTTAAAAGTTTGTAATTATTATATTAAATTGTACTATGTACAATGTATAATTCATAAGTCATGTTCACTCTTTGTATACATCAAATGGGTTCAATATTGGAAAGTGATGTATAAGAGCCATGTACTATATAGCTAGTACATGTAGGTGTTGACAATATATAAAGCTTGCAGGACTGTTTTGTTATTTTTTCTTTACACATAAACATAGTGCAAGTAATGGGCAAGTTATTTCAATCAAAAATAGATTCTACATTGTACATTATGTACACAGACTGGGTACATATTATGTTTTTAGACTTGTTCTGAAGCTATAGTTTTGGTTTGACTATGAAAAAAAAAACCATGAAAGGGTTGTTGAGCAAAGGATGAAAGATTTGGCTAGGCTTTAAGCATGAATGAGTGACACACATTCAAGCAATACCTTAGTGAGAAAAATACTGCATGTATTTGGTTAGTTCAAATTGGCAGTATATGATAGAAATATAAAAGATAAATGTTGGAAGACCTGAAACTTTTAAAGCATTTACTGTTTACTACTGTCTTATAGTTGAAGTAATTTTAGTACTTTTTAGAAGAGTTCTTGTTATTAAGGTTTTTAAGCAACGTAGAGTTACAATTGATGAAGAAATTTGTTGTTGTTGCTGTATATGGTGTTGGAAAGAAAGAGATTTTGTTTGTTTATATTGTACCAGCACGGACTGTGAAGCCATAAGATGCTACTATCTCTTACATGTTGCAAAGTTTTCACTATGCACTAAACTCTAAGCTGTACTTAAATCAAAGGTGAATGCCTGTGCATGTACGTATAAAATATGCCCCACATGAAAAACTGCATGGAGGAATACAGTATATGCATGGGAACTTCAATGTTATAATATGTGTGGTCCTGAAGACAAAACTTTTTCAGTATTAACTACACTGAAAAATCTTCAAAGCAATAAATAGGTGTATAACAGTAAGTGTTGGCAGTGGCACATACAATTTAGCCACACTATTATTATTGTAAATAATGAAAAGATTATGAGATATGCTTGATGTAAAACTGTTGCAGGTTATTTTGTTAAATATAAATTGCTGAAAATTATGTTGCATGTAAAATTACAGTTACTGTATAATTATATATAATACATAAGCCTCCTTGGGATGTTGATACCACTTGCCTTCTAGCTGTTCTAGTTCAATGTTGCATTAAGTTTCAGATGGTAAATTTTAAATGTTTCACATAATATAGTACATGTACTATGCTTTACACAGTGATTGTAAATTTTTACAAACTACAATGTAGTTTGAAGTACTGCTACAATAAGGCACATGTATATTGACTTTTCAACAGTATTTTACCCCTGTCAGAGTTCGTTATTTTAGTAAAGTTTGCATTTTGTTGCATTTGTATATGGCCCAATTTGATTGAAAATCTAATAGCCAGTATATTCTATTGTGCAATTCATTTGTTGTGCTGTGCATGCAATGTGTCTAAAGGTTTATCTACAACATGACTTAAATTTTGGCGCAATTGTATATCTAAATACATCAAGATTGATGTGCATTAAGCGTATATCAAAGCTCAATGGGCAATATGTAATTATACACTATTGATTATTTATGATGCTGCTAATAATTTCCCTTCTTTTGAGTTCATTCTCTTGAGCAGGGTGTACTTGTTTTTGCACAGTAGCATCTATGGGTTGTTGATGATATGAAACTGACACGTAAATTTTCTTGTAATAAAAGATGGTTTACAGAGGGAATCTTGTTCGACTGATGTTTATTTAATTCTTTAGTGATGTGCTTTTTGCTTTTAATAGAGCAAGTGAGGCCCCATATACATGTACAAATGTAGATTTCATGAATAGTTGGCTTTGCCAAATTGGTACTAATTGCCAGTTAAGTTGGGTAGGGCCACAACAATTCAATTAATTGGTTCTCGAATTGATTAGCCCACTTCCTTTTTTTATTTTCAAAAAAAAGACAAAAATTCAGGTTATGAACCAACTCCAAAATGTACAAAATTACATTAGATCCAATTTACTGCCCAGAAATTGCATGAAATGCCTTGTGATTGAGATGACAGAAAAATTCAAGCTTGTTTACTATATATAATAGAACACTGTTTACACTGCATAACACACACATATAAACCCTATGTATATGTTTTGTATATGCTACATAAAAATATTATCTTACAGTATTAATACCATCATAATATTATACGTAAGGATAAACCATAAACCGGACAGTGAGTGTGTGAGTGAGTGAAGGGAATTTCCAGAAAGTTGTGATCAAGCATTGATCAAACCTAGTTACTGCCCAGTAAATGAAGAGCTAGTTCCTCATCGTCATGTAGATCCAGGCCTGTGTCCATTGGATCATCTGTACCCTCCTCCTCTTCATCAGAGCTGCTTCTCTGATATTTCCTTCTCTTTCTGGGTCTGTTTATGATGAAGGGCCAGAAGAAAAAAAAAAACAGTTAAAAACGTTGATGTTAGACATACACATGTAAGATAACAGTTCCTGAAGCAACTGGACAGATTTTCAAATTCATTTTATCTCAGAATTAAACAGTTAACTTAAGGTAACATTTGCAAAGCAAAATGCATAATGTTTACCTCAGCATATGGTCTGCTTTGTTAATTCTTACTCAAACACATTCATACATATGGTGACTGGAATCTAAATCCCTTCTGCTATAAAATTGCAACATGATGTAACCCAACACAAGTTACCATGGTGACAGACAACTGGTTTAAGTCATTGACCTTATTGGTATGGAAAAGAGAAAACAGAGCTTTACAATCTTTTCCTTTGGTAAACATAAAAAGTCACTGTTTACTACATGTACATGTAAACATGGAAAAAAGAGAAAAAAGAGACCACAGTTCAAACAGTTTCCATCACATTTAGTCCAAAATCTTCCAACAACTACAGTATAACTGACCTCTCAGTGTCTTGCTCCTCATCTGACCCAGAGTCTGACCTCTGACCCAGGTCAGAGTCCTGATCTGACCCTGACTCACTCCCAGAATCCTCTACAGAACCTTCCTCCTCCTCCCCCACATCCAGATAGGCAACCCCTTCCTCCTCAACCTGCAATGCAAACAACATCCTCGCTTTTTCACTAGTAATTGGTGGCAAAGTTATCTTGTAATTAGGGTTGTTGCCTCAGAATCTGAAGGTTTTGGGTTAGAATCTCTTGCAATCTACAGTATTGTGCCTTAGAAAAGGTATATTACCCCTATTTTATCATTCAACTCTGGTGAACATGGAGGTCCATTTAGATTTGGTGGTGCTGTCATTTAATAATGCCACCTATCACATCTGAATGGTCCTGCAGTTGGATGGTTGCATGGGTATGTTCTTGTACTCACTGTTTCAGTCTTTCTTCGTTGCTGGTCCTTAGACCTGGCTGCTTCTTTCTGCTTCATTTTCTTCTCCTAAAAACACAAACCAGATTATTGCAGAATACTCTTTCTCTCATATGTAGATAATGGTAAAGTGATGATGCACTAGAACAGCTACATGTAAGTATTGTGGTGTTTTCCCTTACACAATAAAGAACTTGGGGATTGAAAAAGGAGACTACAAGCAGGCTAAATGGACCTATTTGCACTATTGACTCGTACTTATGTTTAACTTCATAGTTTTCACTGTCACTTCAATCTGTACCATGAAGTTATCATGATTACAGTTAGCAAAAAATTCCTGGACTTTTATTTTCTGCACCTGTCACCACCGTGAATATATAGTTTTGTGAATACGTCCACTTTTCTCAGACCGTGAAATTTTAAGTGAATTACAGTACCCATTTCTTCTGCCGGATGCGCTGTTTGTACGCCAGTTTGTCGTGTTTGTCCTCTTCTGCCATCAGTTGGCGGGCAGTCTCCAGGTTGAGCCCTCCAACCTCTTCCTCTTCTTCTTCTTTCCTGCCTTCTCCTGCATCACTTTTCAGTGCAACCTTTTGTACTGGAGGCCATTGTTCTGTAACCTGTGTGACAAAATGTACACAATATACAAAATACACATGATTCTAAACTTATCCTGGACCAGCAAATTGACGGAATGTATTGTGCCTGTCAGTGAGTAAAACCTGTAAATAAATAAAAAAGTGCACTGGGCATAGCACTTTGGCAGAGCATCTAAATATTCTAATTGAAGGATGACAGTAAATGTTGTTAGAACAGATATTAACTGCAATGTACAAAATTCTGATGCAACTTTGACCAAACATCCAACAAAAAGAGAAATCTGGGTTTCATGCAGGCATGTTTTGACGACTCACAGTGTTTCTGTCACATGATGGAATTTTGCTGCTCAAAATTTTGCCCAATCTGTCATCTTTGTCCAACAAAGAATCTGGAGTGTAAAATTCCCCCCCCCCAAAAAAATGCGGGTAAACTTCATTTCAGTGGGTCAAAATTTCCCCGGAGCATGCAACTTAATTCAACCCCCTAGGAATGTCACTCAACATTTATGTTATTAGTCAAACAAAACTTAGATGACGAAAAAAAATTCTGGCTGGCTAGAGCACAGTTTCCGACCTCCGTGAATAGTTTCATCATTGGTACGTCACTGTATTGTAGATGCAGTTCCCTGTAACCACACATATGTATACTAAATTATTAGATATGCAAATATTGTACGTTTGGGAATGCATCTACAGCAGCGACACCTGTGCTGCAGTGCAATGTGAACCAGTCAGAATTGCCCTGAGGAAGGTTACAGACGGTCACCAAAACGTTGGCTGAATAAAAGACTCGGTTGTGTAAAAAGAGTCTCAGTTTCCGACCTTCAGATATACAGTAAAGGTACAGGAGTCACGAACTCACCTCTCCTTCATCGTCAAATTTGACCTTGCTGTTGACCTTCACTTTTTTCTTTGCCAGCTTCTTGGCTAGCTTGGCCTTAGTGAGTGCAGACTTCTTCTCATTGGAAGAGGTTTTCTCAGTCTCCAACACCTTTGGTTCCTGGGAGAGATGAGGAAAAAAATTTCAGCTTGATAATTTTACTTGTGAATGCTTGAAGACAATGACACCATATTTTTAAGGATATATGACTTTTTGTACATTATATAGCAGCAATTTACTGTAACTGTAGATAAAATGAGATAGTCACACACATGCAGTCAACTGCGATTCTTTCCAAGAATGGAGCCCCTATCACACTTAGCTGAATATTTTTACTTTGTTTAACTGTACTGCATACATGTACGAGGGGTGATCAAAAAGTTCTCGGCCTCACCTAGAAAACGTCATGGCAGTAAAATTTTTCTTACACTATTTTTTAATATAGTCCTCTCTAACTGCAATGCACTTGGTCCAGTGATGTTCCAGTTTTATTTTCCCCTTGTGGAAGAAGGTTGCATCTGGACCCCCCAGATTGGCCTATACCGCATAGATGACGTCATCATTACCATCAAAACGTTGACCACGTAAGTGGAAATTGAGTTTAGGAAACAGGTAGAAGTCCGATGGTGCTTGGTGAGGTGAATTGGAAGGGTGGGGTTAGACTGCAAACCCAAATTCGTTTGCTGCTGCCACTGACCCCTGTGCTGTGTGGACAGGTGCATTGTTAGCAGGCCAGCCCGGAGCTTTCCTCTCCTTTTCGAATTCTCTTTGATCGTTGTCCTCAACTGTCGAAATTCTGTTGCATAGTACTCCCCATTGATGCTTTAACCCCTTCGCAGGTAGTCAATCATGATTACTTCCTTACTGTCCCAGAAAACAGAGGCAAAAACCCTGTCAACGGACGAAAGTCGCTAAAACTTCTTGGGGGGCCGGGAAAAATTCTTCATCCATTGTTTGCTCTGCTGTTTTGATTCGGGGTGAAAGTGGTGAACCCAGCTCATCTTGGGTTACAAATGTTTTGAGGAAATTGCATGCATTGGACTGAATTCGTTTCTTGAAATGTCCCGCCTGTTTAACTTCTGATGTTCAGAAAACATTCGAGGCACCCACCATGCAGACAGTTTGTTCATCCCCGGGATGTCCGACAAAACATTGTAAACTGAGTCATAACACAGGCCAAAGAACCTGCTACATGTTGGCCAGTTTTACATCTGTCATTCATTACCATGTGATGGGTGACCTCAACTGGATTGTCCGTGGTGCTGATTTGTGGCATCCTGGCATATATTCATTTTTTGTGCTCTCCTTGCCGCGTTTGTAGCTAGCAACCCACTTCTTTATATTTTAATAAGAAGGGGAGTCATCACCAAGTGTCTTGACCATGTCTTCATGGATTTCCTTAGGAGACATCCCTTTTTATCGATACACTTGATCACAGCACACGCTTCTGTTGCGGCCATTTTGTGATTTTGCCCTCACCCACCCCATTTTCACGGGGCGTCACGTGTTAATTAATGAATGTAAAAATTTGAATTTTTGTGTGCAGTGATGTAAGACGTCATAGTATACAGCTATATTAAAGAATAGGAGTTTGACCTTTATTTTCTAGGTGAGGCCGAGAACTTTTTGATCACCCCTCGTACAATGTAAGTTGGACCCCTATATAGATATCACTTAAGTCTAAAAAAAAAAGATTATCCCTATCTACATGTACATGTACTGACCCTATTTTTTTCAGGACCGAAACAGGAAACACAACTTTTCCTGGGCCAATGACCAATTCACCACCAATGAAGCATGGAATAGCCTGTAAAATGTATAAATACAAAACTTCTATCTCCTACATGGATTGAAGTTCTAGTACCTACCTGAACAGTGTTCCCCTTTACATTGAAGACATCTCTCTTCTTCACCGTCAGTAGGTCCTCCTCTTCTTCATCATCATCATCCTGTTGCCATGACAACGTACCCTTGGTCCCCTGAACTTCCTCATCTTCATCCTCTGATTCCCCTGAAGAAGACTCAGACATGTCTTCCTCTTGTGAAGTCCCTGCTTCAGTTCTTTGTGACAAAGACTTTGCTTTTATTTGCTCTACTTCCAAACCACTGGATTCTCCCAAAGTTCTTTCGACTACTGACTCTTCAGTTCTTAGTGTGGTTTTCAGACCCATCTGGGATACAGTTTTGGACTGTACCAATTGCTTCTCTGTTTCTACAGGTTTTTCTGCATCTTCTTCTCCCTGTGGCCAGGTGTGACTCCCTCCTGTGACTGAAATGGAATCTCCCTTAGCAGCTGCCTTCTCTTTGTTTTTGGCAGTATTCTGAAGGAATCTAACTCTCGGCGCTGCTGCAAGGCCCAGGGAACTGTAAAATAAAGAAAATTCAATCATAATTCATATCAGAAATGATATAATTTGAAGGAAAGGACTCAAAATCCTTTCTTATACATATACATGTACCTGCAATGGTGCAGTGGTGCAGGTAAAATTGAAAATTACCTGTACCAAACAAATTTTATCTGCACCCTTCAGAATTTAGGAAGTACTAAATGCTATTCAGAAACCCTTGCCATGTACTTCATTAGGTGGTAACAGTCAATGCAGAAAATAAAAACCCACAAATACAATGTATATGTACATGGACCAGTGCAGGTTAGGTGCAGGTAGACATTAGAAAAACTTGCACAGCTCCAATTTTACCTGCACTAACCTGCATATACAGCTGGTATTTAAGTCCTGATCAAAGTTTCAAAGTATCAAAGATGATCATAAAATTACCTTGCGTAGTCGTCCAGTGGTAACTTGTTGACATCAAACACCTGTTTGTTGGGCTGTAGGTAGTAGGACCGTAGGTAGGACACAAAGCACTGTGGAACATTCACAATCATTCACATTCACAAAATAAAACATGTCAAAAAATTTGAAACACGTTTGACTGCATGCATGTTGGACTGATTTCTATATATTATTAAGTCATACATACTTTTACTTTTATTTATTGTCATCACAAAACTTTCTGACATCAGACCTGAGATTTGGACAAAACTGAAACACCAGAAAAAATTCAGGCTGGCTAGAACACTGCATTGTACAATGTACCTTCTGTGCTGACTCCTTCATGTGAACATCCTGGGCACACAGAACCTCCAACTTCTTCTGGATGGAGTAGAACTTGGACGGATTCACTCTAAAAATAGATCAACACACAGTCAACTTTTTGTTTCACTGGACACAGTAAGAATATTGGATATCTAAAAAAGACTATTTCCTGAGAGGAGTGATAGAGCTATTTATATGGCCAATCACCCTTCACTTAACCGTGACGGGGGCCGACATTGTCTACCAGATACACGTACAGTACCTTTGACCCAGTGTTGACGTCACTACCCACTTCAAAGAGGCCACTGTGACATTTGCCACGAGTCTCACCGGGTCAGTCACCAGGCTTAAATTTCACCAGCTAGGCCACACCGACTTGATTTTATGGATGACATCTGCGCATAGATTTTCCTGTGGTTTAGTAGCATTTTTATTTTTGGACTGAATTCCTGTTTTATTCGCACGTGCGCGCTAGTTTGGGGGTCTTCAGAGGATTTGTCTGATCCATTCAGTCAGTGTGGCCTTACTATGGATTCTACCAAGTTGAACACAGATGAGCTTTCAAAATGTCACGTTTGTTCTTTTCCACCTTGGCAAAGTAAAAAAAAAGAGCAGCAAAAAGGGCAAGGAGGAAAGAAAAGACTGAAAATTAACAAAATGGTCAAGCTAGTGACACAGACCTGATTTTCTCCACTGGGATTTTCTTGTCTGTGAGCTGCTGTAACATCTGTCTTTCCTCGCTGGGCATCAGGACCAGGAGGGACTCTCCGTCAGACTCATATCTGTAAACATAAACAATAAACATACACAATAAACATTGATATCATCTTGCTGCGCATTCATTGTAAGTATCATTGACTTGAGCTATTTGGTGATTATAAAACCTGTCAGTCATATGCTTCCTATTCACCAATCAAATAGCCCAGAGTGTGAATGACACCCATCAAAATAGCCTTGCATACAAATATGAAAAAAATAAGCTCCAGTTCCTTTAAATTATTACAGAGATTTTACAAATTAGATAAAGTCGCGAGTGTTAATAGTCATTCATTTACATTTAACAGTGTCTCGAGCTAGATGTTCAAGGGTATCGGTGTAATATAGCCAGCTACCGCCTCGCCGCGTGCCTGCGAAGCTGGTGTGTTACGCCGAAAGGCGGTTATACCGGCTATACAGATACAGAAACACTTTCAACACAACCGAAACAGCAGCTGTACCCACCTAGCTGTCCTTCCAGCACGATGGATGTACGTGTCAGCATCCTCAGGACAGTCCAGCTGTAACACCCAGTGAACAGCTGGGAAGTCTGAGATTATGACAGAAAAGAAAAGATTATTAACAGTCAGGGTAAAGACTGGAAGGATTGACATAACAGGTGAGTACCACCTCTTCAAGATGTCAAACCGGAGACCAGACTGTAAGGTTTGAACCACTGACACTGGGAAGGTTCCCTACTTTTTTCGAAAAGTGTGCTGGGTTCTTTAACATGCATGGCGTGTGGCTCTCCCAAACATGGGACCTCCATTTAATGTCCCATCCGAGGGGCGTCCCTAACTGAGCTAGGTACTCACTTCCGCCAGTGAGTTAAGTGAGGAAAGTCATGATAAGTGCCTTTCCTAAGGGCACAAGATCGGTGACATGGGTAGGATTCAAACCTGGGACCTTTTAGTCCTGAGCTGAACACGCTACTGTTTACGCCACACACACCCCACTTACCCAGTCCCCTGGCAGCTATGTCCGTGGCCAGCAGACACACGTGCTGTTTTCTGCAAAAGGAGTCATAGACATCCACTCTCTTCATCTGCGGCATCTTCCCATGGAGACACAACACACTTATCCCTGGCTGGAGTCTGCAGAACGCCTCGTACACGTAACGGACCTGATCACAATATGAAGGGTTAGAATACATGCATGTATATGGTCAGACAGGAGTCTAAATCCCTCCTACTATGAAATTGCAACATGATGTAACCCAACAATAGTATACCATGGTAACAGACAGTCTGGTGCAGGTCATTGTTTGGAGAAGAAGAAGAAGAAATGTAAAAAAAAAACAATATGTTTTCTTTCAGTGAACATAACAAGACCGGTCTTCACCTGTTTACAACTGGACAGGAAGACCAGTACTTTACTGTGGAGGTGGTTCTTGATGAAGGAAAACAGCAGGTCCAGTTTCTGGTGCAGTTCGCAGACCAGGTAGCTCTGTTTGAGTTTCTGCGGGGTGCTGAACTTGTGGTGTTCGTGGACAGAGATGTACACTGGGTTCTTCAGGCTCAGTCTGGCAAGGTCCTTCACTGATCTGAAACAAAGGGAGTAAAGATTGCAACTTATTACAAAGGAAATTGTCTTTTACAAATGGGCAAAAAAATTAGTATCATTTTGTGTCTGTACAGCCAGTATAACTGCCATTTGCGTAACACACTGGATTCTGTATCTATAATATCTGTATAGCTCACATGTCAGTGCGATTTGGCATACAACTTTACACAGACTAGCTTCTGTACCTGTATCTATATCAGATTCTATACATAGCTGGTATAACTGCCCCTCGTATAACACACCAGCTTCTGTATCAGATTCTGTATAGCCAAACCAGGTATGTATAACCACCCTTCTGCAAAACACACCTAGCTTTGCAGACACACAATGTGGCAGCAGCTGGCTATATTACACCAAACACCTAACCTTTACACATCTAACCTGAGTGGGGTTTTTTTTTGGGGGGGGGGGGGTTGGACAGTAACTTACTTGGTCTGTGTGGCAGAGAACAGCATAGTCTGCCTGGTTGTTGGCAGGTTCTGTATGATGGCATTCATGGTGGCAGCAAACCCCAGGTCCAGGATACGGTCAGCCTCGTCCAACACTGAGGGGAAATATGCAAATCACAATGCATGCAAACGTAAGACACTCTCCAATATCACATTTCTTTTTATGTTTAGAAAAGCTGACAGTTCGATGACCATCTGTCATCTTCATCAGGGCAATTGTGACTGGTTCACTATGCACTTAAGCTACATGTAGGTATTACTAGATCACATGTGTACTAAAGCATATCTGTCTGTCTCTCTCTTTCTCTCTTAGGTTCACTGTGCACTGAAGCTAGGTGTTACTGGTTCACTGTGCACCGAAGCTAGGTGTTACTGGTTCACTGTGCACTGAAGCTAGGTGTTACTAGTTCACTGTGTACTGAAGCTAAGTGTTACTGGTTCACTGTGCACTGAAGCTAGGTGCTACTGGTTCACTGTGCACTGAAGCTAGGTGTTACCAGTTCACTGTGAACTGAAGCTACACTGTAGGTGTTACTGCTTCACTGTGTACTGAAGCTAGGTGTTAATAGTTCACTGTGCATGCAAAGAATGGGTTTTTGGTCAACTGCTGGCTAGATCATTATTTTAAGATTTTCTCCAACAACTACAATGACATGAAAACAATTGTTCTGACCCAGCATCTGAAGGTTGTTGGCTTCAAAGTACGCGGTCTCGTCCATGTGTTGTAGAAGTCGTCCCGGAGTGCAGATCACAATGTTTGTACGATAGATCTGCGCCGCCTCTTCTGTCACATCCTATGGATCGTAAGGTAAGTAAGATATAAATGTGTCAAGCTCTGTTCACTTTTTCAACATTATTTACTGTACTTATTGCCTGGAAACATGAAGCTTTTTAACTTGAATACAGTCATCTAGCCATAGCAACTTTTTCTCAGTCCCAATATTTCCCTATAAACCTGAGCATTAAATTTTAAGGACTTGCCTAAGACGACCAATTTTCCAATAAAACCACAACAGGCACTATTTGGGACCACACATGGCCCAATCTCTGCCTATGATGACCACATTGTTTTCAAGCTTTTTGTGGAAAACGTTTTTTTATAGATAACTTCATGTAAAACTGGACCTAGTAACTTGAAATCATCAAAAATATGTCCATGTACATGTAAAACTCTAGTGATTCTGTACTCACCTTACCACCGATGACCAGTCCTGCCGAGAAGTCGTGTTTCTTCCCCACCTTCCTCAGGACCTCAAAGATCTGGTAGGCGAGTTCCCTGGTCGGGGTGATGATGAGGGCCCCCAGTCCATCCTGCTGACTCCACTGGAGCCGCCACAGGCTCTCCAACACCTACAGACACAATGGGGGAACATACTTGTTTGTTTGTTGTTTTTGTTTTTTTTTGTTAAATGTACAGTACAGTTGTTTAAATGTACAGTAGAGTTTTAAAGCTGCATTATGCAACATTAGGACAATACAGAAAGTAGATTTTCTGGTTTCACTTTAAAGCTGCATTATGCAACATTAAGATAGTACAGAAAGGTCCCAAAATTTGATGGCTGACGGTGTGTTTGAAAGCTTTAACCAGAGCCATGTTTGTTTACATTCTGGAGCCAAACTACCATAACATATTAATAGAATCCTGATCTGTGTCTGTCAACAAAACCTCTGATCGGGATCTCTACTGGTAGAATTGCCGATTCTGCCAGGCTGCAAGCTCTACCCTGATATACAGTACATATACAATTGAAACTAGAAGGTAACATTTGCAAAGCAAATGCATAATGTTTACCTTTGCATATGGTCTGCTCTGTTAATTCTTACTCAAACACATTCATATATATGGTCAGACAGGAGTCTAAATCCCTCCTACTATAAAATTGCAACATGATGTAACCCAACACATAAGTTACCATGGTAACAGACAGTCTGGTTCAGGTTATTGAGGTCACTGTTTGGAGAAGAGGAAATGTAGCAAAAATAAGTTGTTTTCCTTTGGTAAACATTCTGTAGTAGCCTTGCTTCCTATACTGTATACATGTGTACTTACAGGTAAGAGAAAAGCCAGTGTTTTTCCTGATCCAGTTTTAGCTGCTCCCAGGATGTCCCGTCCCAGTAGGGCTGGGTGCATGGAGTTCTTCTGTACATCTGTGGGGAACTTATAACCAGCAGCCTGGAGACCTGGTAAATAGCACAATTATCACTCAAAGGGTACCTAAACTTACCATCAAGTACAGGTACCTGTCAAGGGTACCAGTACTACATTGTAGTACAGAGGTTTAGCTACATGTCTGGACCCACATACCTGTTCCTAATTAAACAATTTGACAATTTAATATTACGTGTGTAACACTGTAGAAATATGGAAAGACGCAAACTGACAAAGGTTGACTCTGACTTCTGGGATTGAACCCACGCAGCACTTGCGGTGTGAGTTCACATCCAACGATCAGTACCACTACATCAAAAGGTCCTAGAGTCTTGGATCCATTGGTCTGGGCAGTTGGTAGTCGGTGTAACACAAACTCTGCTGTCCACGGCTTTAGTGGCCCCTCGTGGCTGGATATTGGGCGGCCGGCGACCGTAAAGTGATTTAATCAGGCTAGGCATGCAGTTGGTGGCTATATACTTGCCATTACAATATTTCTTAATACATTCTTAATAAGTATAGAAACAGTTTAATAAACTACAGTAATGTATTATGCATAGCCTCATCCAAGTACCTTGCTGTGTTTTCCTGGACAGGGGCAGGTCTGAGAACTTCTGTATTGATGATGGATCAATCTGTGGAAATACATTCAACTTATTGTATTAGTTAAACATATAACAGTTATACAATGTTCATGTAACAAATGGAATGTAACGTTACATTATGAAATACAGCAGTAGCATTTATCATTATTTGCCGTACAATGTGTAACTTTATTCCAACACAAAGACTACACGATTATTGTATTATTTATTAATTATGGCAGTGACTGTTGAATTTGATCATTGTGTACCTTTTGTGTTGGAATAAAGTTCTAACACATAATATGTTATTATGTATGATATTAAACTTAAAACATAACTTATGAATACGATTTTAATACTACAAATGCAGATGAACTTCCATGGCAATTACTCTTTGCTACTTACAGTTTAGTAGATGTAATAGTGGTTATAGCCTGCATGTCAGACCACTAGTTTAGTGGCATTAGGTCCAGGGTGAGGATTAGAGCATATAGTATTACAGAGGATCTGTACCGTGGTTTGGGGGCATATTTTGTTGGCCCTGAACTGGCCTATATGTAGGCCCTGGAAACAGTCTGGCCCCTAGGCTATACTGGGTAGGACTATAGCTAGCCTTCGTGATAGAAATATGAACCAAAAGAGAAAACTATGGGTTCTAAGTTACCACTGAAAAATTATGTCCACGTGCCCCCCTCCCCACACGTGCATGCTACAACATGCTCCTACTACTTACGTCCTTGTACTTCTGCTGCAGTTTCGCGATGACCTCCTTTTCTATCTCCCATGGTTTCTTCTTCACAGTTGCTTTTCCCTTAGCCTTTTCCTTCTTTTTCTTCCCCTTCGCTCGCCAGCGTTCGAAACTTTCCAGAGCTTGGGCAGTCGACATGCTGTTTCTTCCTGGCAGGCGGCGTCTGCTACGGCCGCAAAACGGTTTCACTGTCGCAAAATACCTTTCCGGATTGCCTGTGGCTATTGACAGGATCGTTCTGTCAATAGCAGAAAATATTGCACTGCTGACAGGATCGTCCTGTCAATAGCAGAAAATATTGCACTGCTGACAGGATCGTCCTGTCAATAGCAGAAAATACTGCACTGCTGACAGGATCGTCCTGTCAATAGCAGAAAATATTGCACTGCTGACAGGATCGTCCTGTCAATAGTAGAATAATTTGCACTGCTGACAGGATTTTTCCTGTCAGCAGTGCAAATTATTCTACTATTGACAGGATCGATAAAATTTTGGTATTTTTATTTCGTACTGGAAATTTTGGGGTGGGCGCTGGTTCGTGTAGGTCTTATGTAGATGTTATTATGTATGCTATTAGGCCATTTTTTACGATCCTGCGCTGTGGCCCCTGCAGATCGTCGTGTATACATTGATCCGCCGCTCGGTAGCGCGCGCCTGGCCTCACGGTAAGTAATGCGGCAGTGCGTGCCTGTCGCCCCGACTAGCCTCTACCAGGCACCGCGGATCGCTGGAAAAATGTAGAAATTGGCCGAAATAAAGGGAAT